CTTTTTTCTTTTTGCTTACGTGGTGCTGAGGAATGGAACCCAGGGCCTCAGGCATGCAAGGCAAGCGCTCTACCACTGAGCCACCTTCCCAGCCCCTCCTGGGATTACTTGTCAATTCCTCTAGAAAACACTGTAAAGGAACGCACCTCATGAGGCCTATTGTAGCGTCTGAGTCACCGCGTAGCGGGCACTCAGCTCCTTGTGGGCTTCCTGGGTTGGTTCACGTGGATCTATGACGTGAGGTGGCAGAGCAGCGCCGGGGCAGTGGCCATGCTGGCGCTCGAGGGGACAGCCCGGCCTGCCAGCCCTGCCTCGTGGCTACAGAGCCGCTCTGAGAACCCCAGCTCTGCCCAAAGCGAGGCGACAGTGAAGAGTAAAAGCATCACTAAGTGACCCTCAAAGTTCTCATCAGTCCTGGGCTACATCTGAGGGGGAAAAGGGGGACCAAGAAATCTGCTTCAGAGACCCCTCATCAAAACCCAGGGGGGGAAAAAGATGAGAAAAATAGATTGTGAAATGGAAACACCAGGGAAAGCTAAAATGGATGCAAAGTGCCACACACAGTGTTCTCAATCTTCCTCAACAACAGCATTACCTGAGATCCTCAAAAAATACCAAGGCTGCTGGTGTGTGCATGCCTGTAATCTCAGCCTGAGAAGGCGAGAGGATGCTGATGAAGGCCAGCCACGCCAGGGCTGGGCAGCGAGTCGCCCGTGTCCACCTGTGCTGCGGAGGCACACGGCAGAGCTGTGCGGGCCGAGCGGCCGCCCCTCCCCCAAAAAGGAAACACACACTGCCCGCGCCTCACCTTCATAGCAGTCCAAGCGGCAGGGTGCAAGCCGTATGGCCTCCCGGAAGTGGATGATGGCCTCCTGGACTCGGCCCATGTTCCGGAGCGCCGCTCCCTTCAGCAGCAGAGCCTGCACGCTGTTACTGTTCAGCTGAATGGCCTTGGCGCCCAAGTACAGCGCCCGGGAGTAGCGTTTGCTATAGAAGCTGTGGCACCTGGGGGAGAAAAAAACAAACCCCACCAGATCACCACGTGTCACCTGCGAGGAGATCACAGAGAAACCACGTGTCACCTGAGAAAACATAGGGGAATCACATGTCACCTGAGGGGAGACCTGAGAGAACTCCCATGTCATGTGGGAGAGGCTGTAAGGCACTGGAGCTAGGTGGCGATGCACGGCTGCAATCCCAGCACCAAGGATGCAGGCACTGCAGGCTCTAGGCTGTCTAGACTACTCCAGATCTCATTTTGAGACCCTATCTCAAAATGAAGAAGACACATCCACAGGACAGAGAAAGCCCTCCACGCAAGCTTTGTTACAAGCCGAGCTTATTGCATGGTTATTAACGATAAATGATTTAAAAAGGGGGTGGCCAGTGCCGGTGGCTCATGTCTGTAATCCTAGCTACTCAGAAGGCTGAGATCTGAGGATCCAAGTTCAAAGCCAGGCCCAGCAGGAAAGTCTGGGAGACTCTTATCTCCAATAAACCACCAGAAAACCAGAAGTAGCACTGTGGCTCAAGTGGCAGAGCGCTCGCCTTCAGCTGAAGAGTGCAGGGACAGCGCCCAAGCCCAGAGTTCAAGCCCCATGCCCGACTCCCCCCCAAAAAAAACAGGGTGGGGCTGGGAAGGTGGCTCAGTGGTAGAACACTTGCCTTGCAATGCATGAGTCCCTGGGTTCGATTCCTCAGCACCACATAAACAGAAAAAAAAAAAAGCAGGAAGTGGCGCTGTGGTTCAAGTGGCAGAACGCTAGCCTTGAACTGAAGAGCTGAGGGACAGTGCCCAGGCCCAGAGTTCAGGTCCCACGACTGGACCCAAAAAAAAAAAAAAAAAAACCAGGGTGGGGTGAGGATCTTGACACAGGAGAAGAAAAAAATAAGGAAAAGCACCTGACAATCTAGGTGTAAGTTGCAAGCAGAGAGATACTGAAGAACTATTTGTACACCTAAAACTAAGTGAGCACCAACATGGGCTGCAGCCGCTGTTTTGAGGCCTGGGGTGGCAAGGGAAGGACTTCTTGCAAACCAGGCAAAGGCTCTGCCCGAGCCAGCGCCGTGGTCAGCGGGCAGCAGCTCTGGCCCCTTGTGCAGAGCACAAGGCCAGTGCGCGTGTCACGCCTTCCCCGCCCCACGGGCCCTCCTCTAAGGAAGCACAGAGAGCAGAGAACACGCCACCGCCACGGCAGGTGTGACTACTCTCTGACCCCAGAGTCCCACCTCCAGCTGACAGAAAGCACGCGAAGACAGACGGCAAGGGACACAGCCGTACCCCGACACCACCCAGGGCTCTGCATGCTGGTCAGAAATATTGAACAGGCGGCAGCCGAGATTCTCCACGTCTTCCAGCCGCCCTTCTCGCGCCAGCAGGTAGCCATACACATCCATCCCTGAAAGGACAGGGGACAAGACGCACTTTAGCCAGGGCATCGAGGAGGGGACATGTCCCCACTCCAAGGCTCCAGGGCCCGTGGCCAGCCCTCTCGCCAGCAGACCTCCCACTCTCCCACAAAGCAACCACGGAAAGCCAGGGCGCTGGTGCTGGGGCACCCCTGGGATCTCAGCAGGCGAAGGTGGAGGCAGGAGGTCTTGAGTTTGAGGCCAGCCTAAACTACACAGCAACACCTTCTCAGAAAGCATGAAGCGTCAAAAAGGACATCCCTTGGTGGGTCCAGGCGCCAGCTCCAAGCCGACAGCTGCCACCAGACAGCACTTCCAGCGCCCTACATCTGACCCGTATGTGCGGGCTGCTTTTTGGGTCTTCCTTCCCACAGCTGCGAGCATGCGCGCGGGCACGCAGGGCCACGGCCACAGAGCCGCTGGTGCCCAGGCCTTCCCATCCAAGGTGAAACCTCTTTCCAATCTGCTCCTAATTTCTGCTTCATTTCACTTTCTTCAACATCTGCTCCCTCACTCCCTCTGCATCCTTTTATCACACTAGGGAGACAGGCAAACCACATGCCCCAAGAGGATACCGAGGGCCTAAGGTGCCATCCACATCCTCTGGCAGGCACATCGCAAACTGGGAATTCCCAAGCTACGATACCCCGCCCCCTCCAAAAAAGAAAAAAATCCAAATAATGGCCTGTGAGATGAAACTTGAATTCGAGAAAAAAATACTACTCAGAAGTGTTAGAGACATGCGTCAGAAGACTATTGTAATAAATCTTAGAAAAATCTTTCTTGACAGACGCTATCAGAGCCAGGCACTGGTGACTCACACCTGTAATCCTAGCTGATCAAGAGGGCAAAATCTAAGGATCGTGGCTTGAAATTAACCCAGGTAGACAATCCAGGAGATTCTGATTTCCACCAGCAAAATATCAACCTGGAAGCGTGGCCAAAAGTGGTCCAGCCCCAGCTATGAGTAAAGAAAGCTGAGTGACAGGTCAGGTGTGCAATCCCAAGCTCCAGCATACTCACACACACACAAACTGACACTTTTCTAGTGACCTCCCCTGATCTACCCTCTAGACCCACCTTTGATCAGATAAGGATCTAACATCTGAGCCTGCTCGAACTTCAGGACGGAGTTTTTGCTGTCTCCAGCTCTGAAGTACAGGTCCGCTAAGCTTCCCAGCAGGTCCACGTTATCCCGCAATAAAGACTTTTTCTCCAGTGAACTAGAAAGACACATCGCAAACCTTCAAAACTGTTCTAAATCTGGAGCATACACATACTGTTTTCTGCATGACTTTTTTAATGATAAAATTTAAACAAACTGTGTATATTCGATTTGCTTATTCTGAGCTTATGGTTTTAAGTCGGACAGGACAGGAAAGAAAACACACAATGAAGCAGATGTTGCTCACTAGCCAGAAAGAGCGTTCTGGTAGTTTCTCAGAGGACAACAACCATGGTGTTCAATGCAGCCCAAGTGCTCGTTTCTGCAGCACATCCACTAAAATTGCAATGCCACAGAGAAGATCAGCAAGGCCCCTGCCTGCGCAAGGGCAAAGGTTCCAGATTCGTGAAGGTTCCATATAAAAAAAAATGTAATGCCATTTGCAGCCACTTCCTATTCAACTGGAGGACCGCATCACGCCAGACAAACCCGTTCTCTCACCCGCACGCTTCACTTCACAGAGAAGAAGTCTGTCTCAAGAATACAACCTAGGCCGGGCACTGTTAGCAGCCTGGCTTCTGGGGAGACCACGAAGCTCTGCTTCCCGGCGTGCAGGACCCATCATGGCAGTCTGCTTTTTGCGGCTGACTGCACAGAGCTGAACTTAGCGCAGCCATACATCCATACAGCTTTCCAACAGAGACATTACATTTGTGATTGTTACATTAAGACAATCAAAGCCCAAAGACAACTTGGCTGCAACACCAGGCCCTCCGACTCTCCTCATCAATACCCATGCCGCCTAATACACATGCATGCTCACGCACACATGTGTACGTTTGTTCGTATGTACACACACACACGCATGCACGCACGCACGCCTGGACAAGAAGGGCCTAGGCTCACTGGGCTCCGGCCGGGGCGCTCACCAGATGGTATTGATCGCTCTTGAGTTGTCACCAGTATGTACAAAGGCATAGGCTTTGATCCACACAGACAGCCAGTCCAGGTTAGGCACCGTCTGGATAACATTCATGGTCATGGACGCCACCTCTGCCCCTTTGACAGACAGGGACAGCAGACCTAGAGCCCAACAAAAAGCGGACAGCGGCGGTGAGGTGGAGCACTGGCCCACAGCGCAGGCTCCCAGCAACCCCATCCTCATGCTGAGCAGCAGAGGAGGAAAAGCCACGCTTCATTTTTGGTGCTAGGGACTGAAACCAGGGCCTTGAGTACGCTAAGCATGCACTACCACTGAGCTACACCCCAACCCTGCAAGACCACAGTACAAGATTTTCTTGAGCGAATGTGTGAATGCAGGGACCTTTTCTTTTTTGCACTACTCAAGTTTGAACTCAGGGCTTCACACTTGCTAGGCAGGTGGTGTTTGAACACTAGAGCCCTATCTCCAGCCCAGCAAGAAACTTAAAAAGCCCCAAGCGTGCCCCAAGTGGCAGAGTGCTAGCCTTGAGCAAAAAAAAAACTCAGGGACCTGAGTTCAAGCCCCAGGACCAGAACAAAACAAAACTGTATTCTAAGCCATAACTGAGAAGTGGCGCCTTCAACAATACACAGTGGAAGCTGGGCACCAGTAGCTCACATCTGTCATCCTAGCTGTTCAGGAGGCTGAGATATGAGGGTCACAGTTCAAACCCAGCCCTGGCAGGAAAGGCCGTGAGACTCATCCCCAATTAACCCCCAGAAAACCAGAAGTGGAACCATGGCTCAAAGTGGTAGAGTGCTAGCCTTGAGCTCAGGGACAGCACCCAGGCCCTGAGTTCCAGCTTCACAACCAATTAAGAACAAAAAAAAAAACAAAAAAACAGTGGAACCAAACAACATGGCCTTTACCTAGAATGGCATCCAAGGCCAGCGGGCACTGGCGCAGGACCTCCTTGTAGCTGGTGACCGAAGGGCGCTCCTGGCCAGCCTTCTTGTACAAGTTTGCCAGCATCATATTTATCTGCATAAGCACAAACAAAACAGGAAAACATGCATACCTACAAAGAAAATAGCTCACTGGGAAAATGCTGGTTTTTATTGCTGGGAAGTGTATCCATTCTCCAAACCAAGAAATTACTGCTATCTTTGTTGTTCCAGTCCTTCCATCCCGAAGAGGGAAAGCACGTTATCCTCTCTCCTCTAACTGAATGTTCAGTAGTGTTGGGACCAAGATGCTACTCATGTGGAGAACGTTATAGAGTTCCAATTAAGATGAGCTACTTGGGAAGTATTCAAGGGGATTTCTGTTAAACTCAATTAATATTGAGGCATAAGAAGGTGAACTCGCTAGGGGCTGGGCAGGTGGCTCAGTGGTAGAGCGCTTGCCTTGCATGCATGAGGCCCTGGGTTCAATTCCTCAGCACCACATAAGCAAACAGAAAAAAGCCGGAAGTGGCGCTGTGGCTCAAGTGGTAGACCGGTAGCCTTGAGCTGAAGAGCTGAGGGACGGCGCCAGGCCCAGAGTTCAGGCCCCATGACCGGACCAAAAAACAAAAAAAGAATCTCAAGAAGGTGAACTCGCAAACAGTTGGTTAGGAAGGGTCATATTTCCCCTCACCAAAGGGAATGGCTATGGTCAAGGGTAAAACGCTGGCCTTCATTAGACAACTAGACCCATGACTGGAATCCGGCCTTTTTAACACTCAAAACTCTGACCTGCCAAAAGTAATGTTTAATCAACTCAAACTCACCTTCAGAGGTGACACTGATCCAAGAACAACCATACTATTGAAATCCAATAAACGCAGATGGATACAGGAGTTTTAGCACAACCTAAATATGAAGCTAAATAAAGCTATCTTAAAGTAATGCTTCCTAAAAGCTCACATGAGAAAATCTACAAGTGCCAAATAATGTAGAAATTACATTCTCTGATACATGTAGGAACTATCTTAAGTCTCCAAACACAGAAAACAGGGCAGGAATTAGAGTTCAGTGGCAGAGTTTAAACCCAGTATGTTGAAGAACCTGAGTTCAATCCCTAGCATAAAGCAAACAAACAAAAACTCCCTTAAACAACACAGAAAATAACTAACTCCTTAATACCAGTACCTACTTAAACATATTCCCTTAAGTCTAGTTACCCATTAGTTTAGGAACACTTGGATCAAGTCCTAACTAAAATGAACTAGGTCCCCACTGCTTAGATTCTTAAAGGTCATGTGGGTGTACAAAGACACCTTACCTGTAAAATTCCGCATTGTCAAGCTCAAGGTAGATAACGTTTCTTCAATAGAACGAGGAGAGCATCTGCCATGAGAGTGCAGCGCACACTCAACACGGCCGCGCGCAGACGCGGGCCTCTCACTGTTCTCCCAACTAGTATTTTTTAAAGCACTTTCACTTTTAGAGTGCAGTTCAGTGGCAGAATGCTTGCCTAGCCAGGCGCCAGTGGCTCACAACTGTAATCCTAGCTTCTCAGGAGACTAAGGAGGGTCACAGTTCAAAGCCAGCCTGGGCAGTTAAGTCCATGAGCCTCTTATCTCCAATAAACAACCAGAAAACTGGAAATGGCGCTGTGGCTCAAGTGGTAGAGTGCTTGTCTTGTTGAAGAGCTCAGGGACAGCGTCCAGATCCAGAGTTCAAGCCCCAGGACCAACCCTGCCCCCCCCCCCAAAAAAAAAAAATGCTTGCCTAGAATGCAATGGATTCTATCTCCAGCACAGAAGGAAACAAGAGGGTTTTTTTTGTTTTGTCTTTTTGTCAGTTGTGTCAGCTGTGGTGGAACTCTGGGCCTGAGCGCTGTCCCTCAGCTCTTCAGCTCAAGGCTAGTGCCCTACCAATTGAGCCACAACACTCCTTCTGGCTTTTTTCTGCGTTATGTGGTGCTGAGGAATCGAACCCAGGCCCTCATGCATGCAAGGCAAGCACTCTACCACTGAGCCACCTTCCCAGCCCACAAGAGGCATTTTTACATACATGAACTTTACTTTCACAAAAAAGAATTTACCAATATCCTCATTTTTAGAGATGCTGTAGGCACAAACTGAAGACCCCACATCTGGTTCCAGTAAGATGCACACCCTGTACTGTATGTAATGTGCCGCCAGCACCAGCACAGCCCTTCTCTATACGAGAGCAAGTCCAAGGCGACCGCGTAGTCCTGATTATGTATAACAATTACTCCATTATTAAATGAGTGTTTTGTAGACCATTATTCCCTATAGCAAGCAACAGCAAAGACAGCTCTTACAGCACTGACCAACCATCTCTCCATCAGTAGGGAACAAAGTGAGGACGTGTGACACAGTGTTCAGACTTCCTAATGTATCTCACAAACAGAAACAGGCCTGAGTGGGCTGAGGAGGAAGGAAACAAGGAACAAACAACTTACTTTGGGGGTTCTCTGTCGGGAAGGGATCCCGTCAAGTATGGCAATGGCATCTTTATCTTGTTTCAGCATTGTATAACATTCAGCCATTTTGTATTTTACTTCAATCTCAGATGGAAGACACTAAGAGATAATGAAAACAAATGTTATTACTAAATATGATCTCAAAGCCAAGTGCAGTAGCTCAAGACTATAACCCGTTCCCTGAGGGGAGGCAGAGATTGAGGGGCTGCAGTTCAAAGCCAGCCTGAGCATAAGCATCGGCAGGATTAGATGGGTAATTCTACTCACCCAGGAGACTGACATCAGGAAGATGGTGGTTCAAGCTCACACAGCAAAGTATGAGAGACTCCATCTCCAAAATAACCAACAAAAATCTGATGGGAGCATGGCTAATGGCAGGGCATCTGCCTAGCAAGCACAGCCCCACGACAGACCAAAAGAAAAAAAAAAAAAAAGACCAACCAGCACTGAACACAAAATTATTTTAATCTCTATTAAAAGAAGTCATAGGGGCTGGGAAGGTGGCTCAGTGGTAGAGTGCTTGCCTTGCAAGCATGAGGCCCTGCATTCGATTCCGCAGTACCACATAAGCAGAAAAAGCTAGAAGTGGCGCTGTGGCTCAAGTGGTAGAGAACTAGCCTTGAGCTGAAGAGCTGAGGGACAGCGCCCAGGCCCAGAGTTCGGGCCCCATGATCAGCAAAAAAAAAAAAAAAGTCCTAATTCTATTTTTGATTACCTGGCTTTGTGGCGTAGATGCTGAATTTCCGGTTGAAGGCCTCACTTTTGAAGTTTTACTTAGCGCTTTCTTCTGCTGCAAAGCCATGGTATACTTGCTCACAGCATTCCGATATTCTTTGTCATGGAAGAGAGAATCTGCATGGTATACCAAGAGCTGGAACTTCTGAGATGGAGAGAGTAACTCTCTAGAAACAAAGAAAGTATTCTCACACCCTAGTGTTCACAGAAGCCTGGCACACAAAGAAAGTCAGCTTGACTTAAGTACCAGTCCCTAAAATGAGAGGCACCACTCCATACAAATATGAGGTCAACACATCTACACAATCAAATGTTTTATTTTTTCCCTTTCTTATTACCAAGGTGATATACAGAGGGGTTACAGTTACATAAACAAAGTAATAAGTACATTTCTTTGTTTTGTTTTTGTGCCAGTCCTGGAGCTTGAACTCAGGGCCTGGGCACTGTCCCTGAGCTTCTTTTGCTCCAGGCTAGCACTCTACCACTAGAGCCATAGTGCCACTTCCGGCTTTTTCTGTTTACGTGGTACTAAGCAATCACACCCATGGTTTCAGGCATGCTGGGTAGCAATCTACCACCAAGCCACATTCCCAGCCCATAAGTACATTTCTTGTCAACCTTGTTACCCCTTCCCTTACTTTTCTCCTACTTTCCCGCCCCCCCCCGCCCCCATTTCCAACATATGGCCTGTGACTGTCTGCTGCCTTGGCTCCCCTTGTCCTTTGTCTCACCATTCTGCTGCTCCACTTCCCTTCCCTAATCAGATAAATGTATATGCGATACCAGGGTACCAAAATCAAATACAGTGGCAACAGGGGAGCTTTTTTAATTCATAAGCAATGATGATACCTATAAATCAAATCAGATAATATAGAGAAAACCTAACACACCCTTTCTCCTACTTTTTAATCCAAGTCTGTTATCCACCCATTTACACTCTTGAATGTCAGTATCAAGTTTGAGTTTTGTTTTTGTTCTGGGGTTTTTTCTTTTTTTTTAATTTTTTTGGGTCCAGTCATGGGCCTGAACTCTGGGCCTGGGCGCTGTCCCTCAGCTCTTCAGCTCAAGGCTAGCCTCTACCACTTGAGCCACAGCGCCACTTCCGACTTTTTTCTTTTTGCTTATGTGGTGCTGAGGAATCGAACCCAGGGCCTCATACATGCAAGGCAAGTACTCTACCACTGAGCCACCTTCCCAGCCCCTGGGTTTTTTTTTTTTTTTGGTCCTGGTCCTAGTGCTTGATTGAACTCGCCCTGGGTGCTGTCTCTGAGTTTTTTACTCAAGACTAATGTTCCACCACTTGAGCCACAGCTCCACTTCTGGCTTTCTGGTAGTTAATTGGAGACCAGAGACTCATGGACTTTCCTGCCCCGGGTGGCTTCAAACTATAATCCTTAGATTTCAACCTCCTGAGTTACCTATAGGCATCTGCCACCAGCACCTGACTTCAATATCAAATTTTAAAGGTATAATACTGACAAAGGAGAGCAAGCCCAGACTTAACCCAAAGAAAGGTTGAAGGCCTAGGAAAGAAACTTTACAAATTCCTCCCCACATAAGTACAAAGGCCAGTGGCCAAGTATATGCTAGAATGCATCTTTGTGCATTGATTTGATTCCCAGCACAATGGAAGAAAAGACTAGAAGAGAGGGAAGGGGAAGGAGATTTAAAAAGAAAAAAAGAGAGAAAGGAAGGCTGAATAAACGCTGGATATAAAGTTTCAAAAAGGGAACTAACTGCTGGGGGTTTGGCTCCGTGGACCAGTGCCTATATGCCTGCAGTCCTGGGTTTGAGACCCAGCACGCCAACACAAACATAGCAGAGCCAGTGCTCAACACCTCCTGAGGCTAAGAAGCTGCCAACTAAACTCACATGGAGTAGCCTGGGCCAGCTACAGTTAGTCTAGGCAGTCATCAATCGGCTTCAAACCATGCTGTAACATCTTGAAGCGGCAAGAATGATGACTAGCACGTCCCTCCCCAATAATGGAAAACACGCTTTGACTTGGTACCAGGAGAGAGCTCGCAAATAAACAGTGCCTGTCAACAGCGACCAGGCTCCTCACACTGCACCCGGGGGTGCTCAACATCTCTCCTTTACTACAGTGAGGTCCAACGCACACGAGTGGGAATGAGATGGGGAGTAATAACTGCACTGCTGTCAAGTCACCAACCTCTCCTGACCTAAGCTGCTCCAGAGCTGCCAAACGCCAGTTGGGGGCAGAGATTCACAGCAATGCCAGCCAGCTGTGGTGGGATGGAATGAAGTCTCTTCCAAGTCAGAGGACCAAGGGTCCTAAGGACACAGGGACTCCACTTCCACATGTACAAACTCGTGACAGTGCCTCATCTCCCTTAGGCTATAAGAATGTCCTTAGGACCTGAGTACTGGTCACACAGACCTGTCTCCAGTTGGTGGCTCACACCTGTAATTCTAGCTACTCAGGAGGCTGAGATCTGAGAATCCTTAACCAATAAGTATCAATTAACCGATAAGATTCTGGTTCAAGGAGTAGAGCGCCAGTCAAGAAACTATGGAGGGCTGGGAAGGTGGTTCAGTTGTACAGTGCCTGCCTTGCATGCATGAGGCCCCGAGTTTGAGTCCTCAGGACCACATAAGCAGAAAAAGCCAGAAGTGGTGCTATGGCTCAAGTGGTAGAGTGCTAGCCTTGAGCTGAAGAGCTGAGGAACAGTGCCCAGCCCAGAGTTCAGGCCCACAACTGGCAAAGAAGAGAGAGAGAGAGGGAGAGGGAGTGGAAAGAGGGGGAGGGAGGCGGAGGGAGGGAGAGAAAAGGGGAGAGGGAGTGAGAGAGAGGGAGAGAGAGAGAGGAAGGGAGAGAGAGGAGGGAGGAGAGAGAGAAGGAGGGAGAGGGAAAGGGAGATGAAGGGGGGAGGGAGGGAGAGGGGGACGGAGGGAGAGGGGGGGAGGGAGAGAGGGAGAGAGAGGCTATCGACAGTTCGAGGACCTGAGTTCTAAGCCCCAGTACAGGCACCAACGTACACACACACACACACAGAGAGAGAGAGAGAGAGAGAGAGCTGTAGGAAAGCAAGGCAGTGGTGATCTTAGAGTCTTCCTGGTCCACGGGCTGAGGGAAGAGCTCAGCTGAAGCCCCACTCCTAGCCCAGCGGGAGGCCGCGATCTGAAGACCGCAGCCGGAGCTCAGTGCGGGCGACCAGCC